AAGCTATGTATTTATATAGCTATAAATATTGTGAAGTCAGCAATTTTATTTTATAGATTTTTTTCCATTCTGTAGAAACATCGAGTCGGTATGTTTTCAGAATCTTTAAATAGTAACACATTAAGACTAAATACTGTTATATAATTGATTATGTGATCAAGTTTGAGCCAATCAGAGAGCTTAGAATAATCAGAGACATATATTATATGTCTCTGGAATAACAGAGAAAAATAATATGTCGATATCATACATGTAATAATTAAATAGATTTATCATGCATCATAGGAAATTATCGAAAGAAAAAAGTTCAACTTTGACATCAAGGTGGCCTGGTGTTTATGAATTGTGATCATTTACAGGGACGTAGCAACAGGGGGGGGGGTGGGCCTGGCCCCCCCCAACTTTTTTTGCCAACATTACTTTTACTATTGAAAATGTTCATTGAAAGGCAGGTTGGCCTCCCCCCACTTTTTACTAAAGTAAAGTAATATGAAGGAAATATAGTAAAAGTTTTCCTAACCCCCCCCCCCCCCCCCCCCCACACACACACACGAAATAGGATTTTCGACTTCGGACAATTTTCCCTTATATATTTTTAGTTGTTGTTGTTGTTGTTTTTTTTTTTTTTTTGCTTTTCAACTTTATCTGTTAAGTAAAAAAGAAAATTTCTCTGGCTTGCCCCCCCCCCTTTCAAAATCGATGCTACGTGCCTGATTTACTTACTTTAAGTGCCTGTCATAATAAAAAGAGATATCTCTGTAGTTTCACGTGCACATAACCTGTGACAAGACCTTTCTCATTATAAAATGACTTTTACCTAGAATTGAAAAAGACGTCATACAAACAATGTGCTGAGCAATATCACTCGGAAAGCGATGCAGGACCACAATTCTTTGTTTCGTTTTATTTTTTAAAAACAGTCAAACTTGCATGGTGAAATATCTGATTGCTGGTCAACAATACAACACTTTATCATGCTTGAACGCATATAACTTGTTCTGCAAATATAGCACACACACATATCGATGTAAGCAATCACAAACGAACATGATTTGCTTAAAATAATTAAAAACATAAATACGTAAAAAAAAATCGCGATCCAATAATGATTTTATTGGGTAGTATATTTGTACATACTTTTTCATTATTAAAGTAAATGTTCTCTATTGGACAACTACAGCTGTTTTTATTAGGTAAGAGTTTATCATATCACCTGTTACAGATATAGTTTACACTTTATTTATTATGGAAACCGTTAGCAAGTGTGAATATTTTATAACGTTGGGGGTCTTCAAAGTAGCCTGTACTGAGAGCATTACCTGGTATAATAAAACACAATATTCGTTAAATACATTCGATATTTAACGATCCAACTTAATAAATTATTTTACAGATGCTTATAGCCAAAAAAAAAAGGACTAAAACCAAATTTAAAAAAAAAATCTTTAATAAAAAAGAGCCCCCAGGGCCTTAGTAAAACTAAACAATGTACAGGATCTGTATTGAAGTATGAAATAAGACAAAATTAGTTGATACAAGGGCACTGCAAAATGGAGCATCCCCTCGCAAAGGGGATATGTATAAATCAAGGCAGTATTCGGCATAGATCCCGATGCAAATTATGTCACCCCAGTTTCACACAAGACAGACAAACACACACAGACACACCCTTATACACAAACAAGTGCGTTATACTGTATCCCCTCAGATTCCTTGCAAGGGGAAAATAAAAGGCGGTCTTGCCAAATACAAGAAAAATTAGATGGTCAGGGATAACCAAATTGATTAGTCTAAAACTCAGTAACAAATCTTTTAGTAGATCTCCTACCTCAATACTGTTCTATCACATTGCATTTATACAAAACAATAGTACTTTCTAACTTAACGTAGCCCCATATCATTCCCTCAAACATTAACCTCTCTTGGTTTTAGAACATTAAATAAGAAGCTTTTTATGAATTTTTATGAGTATACTTTTTATAGGTCCATTAAAACCATGAAAGTGCTTTTTGTACTGTACATTAATTTTCAATAATTTTATATTCAATACATTTTTAACTATATATTATTTACGCCTCGGTTGACAATTGTTATTCTTGGAGTGTCGGTGTTCATAGTGAATAGAAAGGGGGAATAATTCATTATAATACCAATTGATAGAGCACTACCCTGCATCAGAACACTTGAACAAGTGGTCTATTGAAAATTTGGTAAAAGACACCCTTGCTTATTACGACTTTGTGTATTCTCTTTGCATGCCTCTCATATGCCTAGAAGCAGTGATAATTTTCAAAGAAATAATGCATTTTTACCAGATTTTGATAATTTAAAAGAAACTCCAAATACTGGAACTCCTGTACCATGGCCGGGGCCATAAATTCTTCTTTCATGCACCGCAAGATCTCTATAAGCAGCAAACATGTACAAAATGTAGATAAGACATCGATGAAATCTACTGAAGTTCTAGCACTTCTTTCAGAGGGGTTTTCTATCATCTTGGAAAACTAAACTTTACACGGCAGACTGTTTAAAACTCTGGCGTCTTGAGGGATGCACCTCCCTTTCTTTTCTTTTTTAAATCTGGGGACGACACACCTAAGTTGCTACATTTGTAGCACAATCGAATTAAACGTGCCAGCCTTCATGAAAGGGCAATGGGTCTAAAAAGGACCTGGACACCTGTTTTTGGTAGGGGCTTGGATTGTGAGAATAGCGGATCAAAAACACTTGGCTCACATTCTTGTTTACATCATGACATTGATTCTGACAATTTACTGTTCAGGTAATTTTTATTTCAGGTAGAAGGTGTGATAAGGACACTCTGACCTGTTTTGTATCTGCAATACTCTTACAGTTCTTGCTTCCTCATAACTAGCATGTCTATGACGATTTAATTATGACTCAAAGATTAGGGGGCACAGTGTATATGATTTTGAGTCTGTCTTTTAATCCATTTGTCCTACAAATTTATCCATACGTTTTGATTGGTTAGAGGTATGGCTTTCATTTTTCATACGTGCATTCCTTGTGACAGGACCTCTGTTTGGGTACCAACATATTTGACTTCTAAACTTAAGAGGTTGATCCACTTAAAAAAGAGATATTGGTGAAACATCGCATGGCATCTTATGGCAAAGGTTTGTATTTCTCAAATGCAAATCAAACTCCTAGGTCAAGGTCAAAATTGTTGGTATCAAGAGGAAGGAATACACCTGTGAAATATAAAAGTCCTAGTACTAATTGTTCAAAAGTTATAGCCAAGGTTAAAGGTTTTTTTTTTACAAAGTGGATCAAACTCTAAGTCCAAGGCCAAATTTATCAATACCAATTGAAAGGTCATATCACAATGAATACACATGTGAAGCAAGAGAGCCCTAGCAACAACCATTCAAAATTTATGACAAAGGTTAACTTAAAGCTTGGTATTTTTTGTAATTAGGTCGAACTCCAAGGTCAAGAGGTCGAATGTGGTGGTACATGTACCAAAAGAAAGGTTTTATTACAAGGAATACACCTGGGAATTATGAAAGTCATAGCCCTGCCAAGTCAAGAGTTATTGGCAAGGTAGTTGGTACAAGGGCTTTCATGAGTATTCAGTGTGAAAAGGAATTACCTTGACCTTTTGACCTTAGAGTTTGACCCACTTACAAAAAAATTCAACCACAATTGGTCACAATTTTGAACAGATAGTACAATGTAATAAAATGTTCATGCTTCTCTGGTGCATTCCTTGTGACAAGACCTTTTGGATTATAATTTTGACCTCTTTTGGAAAAACTTTATCTGAACAGTTGGTGCTAGTGTTTTTAAATTTCATGCATGTATTTCTTGTGACAAAAAACTTTCCCTAGTTATTACTGTTAATTTTGACCTTGACCTAAATCTACTTTTTTAAAAAAATACTCCATCTTTGCATTACTGGAATGGTTAGTGCATGAGCTTTCATATTTTACAGGATCTCTCTTTTAGAGATACTAGTAAGTCATTTCCTGATAAACAACATTTTTAATCCCTTGACCTTGAACTTGCATTTGAGAAACTTTAACTTCACTTTAATCTGCCATACAGGACACCAGTATTTCACAAACCAATCGTTTTTTAAATGGCTTTTATTTCAAACTGAACAAGGAGTGATAAGGACACTTTCTGGTCCCCCTAAGAAATTTATTGCATAAGTTTATAAACAAACAAACAATAATGCCAACTCTGTATTTAAAAAGTCTACAACTTCATTTTTTTTTTTCAATTTCCCAATGTTTTTAAAGTTTAACTTATTCCACGTACATTTTGCATAAGAAAGACAGAGAGAATGCTAGATGTCTATGTTTAAAATTCAAAGATAAGCTAGCTTTTAATCTATGTACTGAAAACAAAACTTATCATGATTATAAATTTAACAAACATTCTGATTTAGATAAATTCTATTTTCTTTTTGGTCAAGCCTGCGATTGTTTTATATCAAAGTTAAAACTGGTGAACCAGCACCATTTAAAGTTTCCAACTACAAATAAATTTTTGTCAAGTGTTTTCAATTCCTAATAGTAATAACTAATGGTAAATATGGACCTTACCACACATATCCTTTCAATGGTTTCTTTAATTATGTGTGTTAACTTATTTGTATTTGCATACTTTTTTCTACATAAAAGTGTTATTCAATTAATTGGTATACAGTGGAGTCTTATCCGGACGCTTTGGTTCCCAGTCAATTTGTCCGGATATGTGAAGCACCTGGATACCTGAATCACCAGTTAAACAAGACAAAATAACATTATGAAATTCCGTTCCAATGAAAAATCGACCGAATACTGAAGCATCCGGATATCTGAAGGTCCACTGTACCTACAGGGCCATTTTACGCAAAAAGTGAACCAAACTCTTTGACTCAGTTCACTCTTTGACTCAGTTCCACCTGCATTACAGCGGAAAATGACATTACATTGAGAAAGGAAGAATAAATTTTGAAGTCTACTCTATAAAAAAAAAAAATATTCTGTCAATTCATTGCTTTTATTAAACAATCACAACACTCCACTAAGTTTTTCATTCATTTCAATGATGAGATTCTTTACAGATTGTCTTTATAATTTTAATTATGTACATGTTTAGGATATGTTACTATTTCAGTTTGGTGTATGTTTATTCTACTTTGTTCTTTTTCTTGACTTCATGCATATATCCTAACCCTGCATTCAGTGTCCAAGTTGCCGTGACCATTATGCTGAAGTACACATGGTATACACCCCAGTTACTTGTGAAAAATTGTGAAATCAACTGGAATGTAATAATGCAGGAATTTGTCTACAATTTGAAAGAAAAATGTTTCGTATTAATGTTTGATGATTATAAGGGATGACATAAGTATATGGTTGTCTATATTGAACTATCAATTAAATTTAACAGAAAAGCATGATGATCTACTCATTCATGGCTCCTGATCCCACCTCCAAACTTTAAGAGTACCATGTTTGCTCTATTCCCAATTTGTATTATTTCAATTTGTATTATCTCAATAGACTTTTGAGCTTGATTGCTGTTCATCTTCTCCATATATCATTTTATTGAGCAATTACTATAGCATTAATGTGAGATTTTTTTTTCAAAAAGGTTTTTTATGAAATTGACTTCTTTCACTTGAGGAGCACATGATTATGGTCAACTTAAATGTCTCTCTCCAAACAAGAAGATTCATGCTTATTTCCCTACACAGGCAACTTAGCCACATATGATTCTCATATGTGTATCATATGATTCTCATATGTTTGGTTTCATATGAGAATCATAGAAAAAGGGCATCATATGTGATTCATATGAAGCAAATATGATTTACATATAATCCACATATGTGAATCATATGAAAATAACTACATATGATTCACATATGAATGATTTAAGTGTGTTTCAAGCCATTTACATATGAGAATCATATGAAAATGACATCATATGTAAATCATATGAAACACTTATGTGTGTTTCAAGCCATTTACATATGAGAGTCATATGAAAAGGGCATCATATGTAAATAATATGAAACACTTATGTGTGTTCTCTTTCAATATTTTTCACATTCTTGTACACATTTAAAAATCAGATATTTCTGCTTTAGATGAAAATTCATTACATTACAATGATATATCTTCATTGGTAACATATTCTAAAATATCTTATAATGCTTACACAACTTTTTTGATAAAATTATTTTCATCAAGAGAAATAACTTATTTTTCACAGTGTACATTCTAAACAAGAAAATATACAAACAAGTCAGTAGCATTTGTCAATACATGTATTTAACATATTCTAAAATGAGTACAAATTATAAGATTTCAGCAAAATGATTGAGTAGTTAAATGTGTGTACATGTACAAATGAATAACATTATTAGGTCATGAACTTGTATAAAAATACCATATGACATGAAAGTGTCCACAGCAAAATTGAAATATCAGCAATAACATTTGTCATGTATTCTCCATTGTAAATTTATGAAAAATCAAGTTATTTGATATTCCAGCATACATATAAGAATGGAAATCTTTACAGAACAAATTCAGACAAAATTGTGTACATCCTCCCCATTTCATAATTATTCCATATATTTCCTTGTTCTTTTTCCATCTGTATCTTTCAATATTTTCAGTTGTCCTCCCTCTGATCTGACCATTTTGAAAATCCCTTTGAACTGTACCAAAAATGCAAATCCACCAGTTCTTCCCTTCCTAAACAATTTCTTTGTGGCACAGAATGGTCTCTACAAAAATTTCAAAAATAAAAATAAAATGATTCTTAAATTACAAAATCAATTCTACAAGTTATATTAAAGTAACTTATCATCAGCAAACAAATGTATTCCCAATTCACCAACACAGATATGATATGAGATAAAACTAATTTATATATGTTATACAAGGTATTTTGTGGAATCTTATGATGTAATTTGCAAGACAATTACACTGTTGGAAGATATGCTTCATAATAAAATTATAAAAAGCATTTTTTTTTATTTTGACAATTGAATTGAATTTTGCAAGACAATTACACTTTTGGAAGATATGCTTCATATTAAAATCATTAAAAAAGCATTTTTTCTTATTTTGACGATTGAATTTGGAATGTTCAAATAGAATATATTAATTCAAATTGCCAAAAATTAAGAAGATTATGACACAAATAGGCAGAAAAAACAGACTTTGTGATTCCAGTATATCCCAGACTTTGTTGGGAAGAATATAACAAAGTCTATTAAACAGTGTGTAGTTACCTTAACTTTGAAGCAAACCTTGGATCTTTGGATTTTTTCTTATGAGAGGCTGACTGTATATTGAACCTGTAAAACAAATATTCACACAGTAGATATTTTCTAAGCATAACTAAAACTTAAACTACAAAAAGAGAGAGTACAAGTTTGTAGGTTCTCAGTTGTCCTAAATATCTTACAATTCAATTGAAACTAGGTTCTCTAGTGTTGGAAAAAAATTATAAATGTCAATGAATACATAGATGTAAATATTCAATGGATTAGCTATCTGATGTACTTTCAACACATAGTCACATGCACATGCACATGTATTTGTACCTTGAAAGTTGCCACTGTTATTATTAATTTTTTGCTGAAATTCAAAAATTCAATTTACCCCCTGAAGTAATTGTATAGTTTCATAGCTTTTAAAGCAAGAAAATTCTATTCATACTTTCCATATTTAAAAGTGCATTTACAATTAAAATTGTTTCATAATGTAGAATAAAACTTCTATATTATTGAGTTGAATTTATTTTTGATGAAGCCGTGCAAACAATGTAGAATTATAAAGGAACAAAAAGAAATTATCAAGAAATATTTTGTCATAAAGGAGTCATTACAGATGTACACTTTATTTTTTATTGCAATATTTTTACCTTTAATATTGTGATGATGCAATCGTCTGTCAGAATCAGCTTTAGGATCAATCGTCAGTCTTATCAGCTTTGGGCTTCGTGGACTTCATAAAAAAGCTGCACTGTGACACTGAACTCAAGTTGAATGCATCTATAGGCCATAAAAACAAACATTTGTCATTAAGTTGATGAAAGAATCGACTTGATAAACGATCTCAACATACAAAACGCCAACTGCTATACAGGGTTTCTACTTTCACTTTCAAATCAGTACGTAAAAAGTCAAAACAAAAAGATGCCTTTAGCCTAACATGTAATTTGTAATGTTTACATCCAATGAAAAACAAATTTATCCAAAATATACTTACAGATCACTAACATTATGTAGGTTTGCGAAATGCATTAATTTAACAATTACAAGTGATGATAGTATTATAAAAATAAGTTCATACGAACCTGTAACCGTAATGAAAGGATATTTAAACAATATGAATTAAAGGTCTTTATAAAAGAATTGTTAGGAGATAACTTACTTTTTCCAACACCCAGCACTTCTGCAGCAGCAGTGACGTCAAACATGACGTACACTTTCATCCAATAAAAGTCAAAACCGGTCCGGAAAAAAATACGGAATGATTTTGATTTTACTCAAGTAATAAACCAAACCCAAAATATTTGAAATAAAAAGCAAATTAATATAACTTTATCAATTTTATCTGCAAAATGCATTATTACAGAAAAAAATTGGGAACTGTTTTTTTTTTAAGGGAAAGGGGGGGGGGGTGTGTTGAACAGAGTAGAACTTTACATAAGTAATTGCTAAAAAATTATTTTGAATTAATGTACATGTGAATTTAAATTACTATTGATAAATATTATTGAAATTGCAATTTTACTTGCATATACCAAAGGACAAATTAGTGAACACTGTTTCATATGATTCTCATATGATCACTGTCCAAATATTCATATGATTTTTACCTGAGTATAACAAGAGCAAATTAGTGAATATGGATTCATATGATTCTCATATGATCAGTTTCATATAATTCTCATATGACAAATGTCAAAATATACATATGATTCTTATATGCAGGGCCTTTCATATGAGAATCATATGTAAATACGATCATATGATATACATATACATGTGTAAACATATGATTCTCATATGATTAGCCACATATGATTCTATTCTCATATGATTGTATATACATATGATTCTCAAATGAGCCACATATGATCCTCATATGAAACGCAATGCATATGAGGATCATATGTGGCTAAATTGCCTAATATGTACTCTCTACAATAACATCATGAAAGATCTGAATTCGACCTTTTATTATTAGGCTGTCCAAAGTTAATTCTACGTTTAATGTCACCCACGAGCATAGGTTTCAGAGAAATTGACATTTTGAAGAAAAAAAACAAACATTGTTTAAAGTTTAAGTCCAAGTTTGCATTTATTTTTAGCACAAAATACAGGGGTGTGCAATTACAAAATTTAGTTACTAGCCGGGTCGGGCTAGGGGCAGTAACAAAGTCACTAGCCTGAGGTTGCCAGTCACTAGCTTATTTATTACCAAAAAAAAAAATAAATGCATAAGTATAACATAAAGGTAAAAAAACATTTAAGTTAGAATGAATAAAACAAATAATTGTTTGCGCTTTGTTATTGTCAGGTACTTCTCCCTATTTTTACCGACTATAATTGTCACCGAGAAAACTGGCGAGAGCAACACACAATACGTATAGGTTAAATTGAATTAAAAATTATGACTTTACAATAAAGTTAATTTGTACATCAATTCATTCGACATAAATATATGTTTACTTTCGTTTTAGATTTAACAGCCTGACGCGCTGACATAGTATAGATTTACAATAGCCCGACCTCTAAAATTGGTAGCCCTGGGCTTCGGTAATTGCACACCCCTGAAAAATATACATTCCACAGGAATAGACAATTTTGAACCCTCTGCTAGTCTAATCTATCATTTAAAGTGACAGGTTTACTGAAAATGATTATTAAACAATAAGCCCACATGATTACAAATATTGACAGTATCTTTATTCATATTCTTGTTTGTAGATTTTGTTTGTTTTATTTTTTCTTTCCTTTTTTAGCCAGCCTTATGCATCCAAAACATGAAATTGTCTTTAAAAACTTTCACGTCCAATTTTGTATTGTTCAAGGGACTTTTGAGCTTGAAATCTGTTTGTTATCCCCATAATTTTCATGTATATGTACTTACAAGAATACGATAGGTCAGAAATTGAAGTTTATCTGCTACATTGCTAAATCTTGAAGCTGATGCAGAGATTACACAGGATCCAAACAAGAATGCTGCCACTATACGAACAAGAGAAAGGTGAAGTTTGCCCAGTTTGCCATCCACCTATCAAAAGAGTAATTATCAATTCCATGAGTGTAAAGTCTGCAATAATTGAATTACTTGGCTGATTTAAGAAGTTATATAAAGTTTATCTTTTTTAATACACAATTAACAATATATTTTAACTTCTTGGAATGATCACAGGTTTCTTGAAGATCTCAATTTTATTAATAATAAAAATTCTTTATAAGTACATGTATCATTATATTTTAATCATTGGATTAGGAGGAATTAAGGATAGGAGATGGGTTGGCCCAATAAAATAAATGTAAAAAGGATGGCATTCTCCTAGTTTTGCAATTGGAAACAAAGTGTCCCATCAGAAGTAAAATAGGGGGTGCACAATGGTACTATGAAAAAAATTGCCCTATTTGAATTTGGAAAGAAAATATTGCCCTCTTCTTCATGATGGGCAATATTCATGTCTGTCACAGTCAATATTTTCAGGATACTATAATGGCTTTCATAAGCATTTCACATCAAAATATTACAAAGCCTGTTAAGTAACTTCTCTTGTCTGGAAATTATCAAAACTAAGAAATCTAGGACACATTTAATTGGCATGCATCATTTCACTTCCATGAAGTAAACTTTATCCTTAAAAAAAGCCATGAAGGTAAAGTAAGACAACTCTTACATCCCTTGCTTGTATATTTCATTTACAGATATATGTGTTAATGGCCCCCTACTAACAGCTAAAAGCAAAAAGAGAAAAAAAAAAACATTAAATCTCGTATGAGATATAGATCTTTGTTTTTGTCTATTCAAAATTTCCATCTCCTATCAAGAAACAATAACAGGTTTTTTCATTTATTTTTAACAATGAAGACATAAAAAAATTAAATTTTTCATGCCAGTTTTTGTTTATCAACATAATCTTTGGTGAAGCCTGTTATATGTACACGTAACTAGTTCTATATATATGGTAAAAAATTATGTGGACACAATTTTAATGTCCTTTGATTCCTAAGGCCATGACTGAAATATTTTGCAATGATATTATATGCTTTTTCAATATATTACAATAGGACTAAAATACCACTTGAGTATCAAAATATATACAATGTTTTTAATTGCCAGAATATCTATCATTTTTATCTTGAAATACAGGTATTTTTTGCTAGAAATAAAATTTAGTACCATATCCATGCAGTTTATATATAATTCTTATTTGCTAACCATATGCATTTACCTCTGTAATACAATTTTTATATAACCATGTCCACTACAACTCAAATGTACAATTTTCACAAAAAGCAAATAAATTTGTGTGTACTGATACCCAGCTGGACCTGTTAAAATTTCCGTAATTAAAAACTTACATTGATAAAACTGTCTTAAACCACTATTAGTATCGGAAACTTATGCTGATGGACTGAGACCTTAACAGATACAGAATCCCCTTCATAGAGGCCAACAGTGAACTGAGGAAGACTAAAAACTTGGTGTACACATGTAATAAAATTTTATAAATAACATTTTTAAAATTTCTTTTTGGGCTAGTAGATCTTTGGCAGGGCTGATGACTTTTATAGCATCTATTAATTTGGCCTACAAGTCCAACTAATTTTACAGTGAGTTTTAGACCCTATTTACGATATAAAGAAATATTACTTCTGCAGAATCGTACTGATGGCACTAATAACAATGTTATCCTGTACATTGACAGTAAATCATGTATTTTAAAAATACAGTACAATTTGTCTAATCCGGACTCTGAGTACTCCGGATTTTTGTCCATTCCGTCTATAAGTTTTAGTCCCATGCACTTCTTTAACAAATTCATTAGAAAAAAATCTGTGTAGTCCGGATACTGTCTATTCCGTATTCCGAACGGCCATACTGGTCCCAACTGCTCATAATTAACGGTAATTATTTCCTCTAATCCGGCCACACCTGAGTTATTACAAAGCAATTAACACCTTTCGTGGTGGATGTGATAATCCGTGTTTGCATTAGCATGATTAGTGCCATGAGACGAACTCAGTGAAATGCGGCGGTGACACAGCCCACTTGAAAATTATTATATGATTAAATTACAATTTAAAAAAAAACATTAACTTTGTTTTAACTCCTTTTACCACATTATAACATAAACACAAATAATATAATGTACGCAATTAAAAACTCAAAATATAAATCGGGATCGAAAATCGAGCGCATTTCAAAATGGCGCCATAACACTGTGGGGGAAGACATAATTTTTTACATAAAAATTAAAAGTTCAATCCAATAATTAGCACATCGTAAATAATTGTGAATTACTGTCTATACATTGAATGAGCTCTTTGCGAGCAAAACCCAGTCCGCTTGATTATAGTAAGCCTATATTATGCGTGCCTGTAGATTTTGATTTAGGTAACATTTCACCCTACTTTCAAACTTCGTAAACAACCAAGAAAATACAGTGAGTCATGCGAGACTATTTTATAATTTCTAGACTCCAAAATATTGTTTGTTTTCATATTTTATATATAGTATATGATGTCTTGTAAATAAACAACGAAATTTTCAAAATTAATATTTTCCTGCATTTTTCCTGCACTCCAGATTCTGTCTAAACCGGCCAAATTTTATGGAACCAGCGATAGCCGGTTTGGACAAATTATACTGTATATGGATGTCTAAAATTATGACCAGTTATTAACCCATGCGGAAAACAACTGGAAATTTCCTAGTGATTATATATTTATAAGCAACAGCTTGGGCAGTGGGATTTTTTAAAGTTCGATGGTTGGTAAGAATAATAATTCTAATTTGGCAAATTACCGGTATCAGAATTTCAATTTTTTTAATAAGCTATTTGAATAATCAAAGAAAATAATAAATATTTTTTTGGTTGACATTCCTAATACAAATTCTACATGTGCATATCTCGAGGAGATGGCGGGGGGGGGGGGGGGGGGGGGTCCGGACCCCCCTGGAATTTGCAGTTATATTGAATTAAATGTATATACTAAACCAACTTAAAGTGACCTTGAACCCCCCTAGAAAATGCGGACCCTCCCTCAAAAAAGCAGATCTGTATTAATTAAGTTGGTATTTCCTCTCCCCAAAACAGGTTTGGGAACATTTACATTTTTTGGCTTGTCGAAAATTTCTCGGTTGGATTTGTTTTTTTGACTGAGGTGAACCCCCCATGGAAAAAATTTCCTGGATCTGTGGCAGTGCTAGCTGATCTATATATATATACAAGAGGCCCACGGGCCTTATAGGTCACCTGAGTATTATGTAACAACTTTCAAACAATTATATTTGGGTTCGTGTTTTAAACCGGATGCCATGAAATTCACAATTTAAATTTTGAAAGAGGCACCATTGCTTATCATAATTATTAACTTAGCATGCTTACTCTATTTACTTAATACCCAGAGGTAGATCAGAGTAACAAAGAGAAAATGCACTTCTACTTTATAACCAGTTGTGCACCTCACCCACTGACCCATGGGCCACATATTTCAAAATTTTGCAAATGTAATCATAAAATGGTTGATTAATAGCAAAGGGCAGATTTCAAACATTAATTTATTTTCAGACTATGTAACCCCCCCCCCCCTTTTGACCCTGGGGGGCATAAAAAAACCACTTTGCTAGATGCATCTTTCTTCATCATAAATATATATATACTTGGATTATTGGCATAAAACCCAGAAGCAAAGGAAAATATTTTCAAAGAATTAATGTATTTTTACTAAATAATCAATAGAGCCCCGTCCTAACACCAGCACCCCTGACCCTTGGACCATAAAATTCACGAATCTGGAAGAGGCACTCTTGCTTATCATAACTATGTGCTTAGTTAGTTTATTTAATACTTTAATACCCAGGAGCAGAGAAGAAGATTTTCAAAGAAATAATGCATTTTCACTATATAATCAATACAGCCCCACCCTAACACCAGAACCCCTGACCCTGGGGCCATAAAATTCACAAATCTGGAAGAGGCACTCTAGCTCATTATAACTATGTGTTTAGTTAGTTTATTTAATACCCAGGAGCAGAGAAGAAGATTTTCAAAGAATTAATGCATTTTCACTATATAATCTATAGAGCCCCGCCCTAACACCAGAACCCCTGACCCTGGGGCCATAAAATTCACAAATCTGGAAGAGGCACTCTTGCTTATTATAACTATGTGCTTAGTTAGTTTATTTAATACCCAGGAGCCGAGAAGAAGATTTTCAAAAATATAATGCATTTTCACTATATAATCTATAGAGCCCCGCCCTAGCACTATAACCCCTGACCCTGGGGCCATAAAATTCACAATCTGGAAGAAGCACTCTTGCTCATCATAACTATGTGCTTAGTTAGTTTATTTAATACCCAGAAGCAGAGAAGAAGATTTTGACAGAAATAATGCATTTTCACTATATAATCTACAGAGCCCCGCCCTAGCACTAGAACCCCTGACCCTGGGGCCATGAATTTCACAAATCTGGAAGAGGCACACTTGCTCATCATAACTATGTGCTTAGTTAGTTTATTTAATACCCAGGAGCAGAGAAGAAGATTTCAAAGAAATAATGCATTTTCACAATATAATCTATAGAGCCCCGCCCTAACACCAAAACCCCTGACCCTGGGGCCATAAAATTCACAAATCTGGAAGAGGCACTCTTGCTCATCATAACTATGTGCTTAGTTAGTTTATTTAATACCCAGGAGCAGAGAAGAAGATTTTCAAAGAAATAATGCATTTTCACTATATAATCTATAGAGCCCCACCCTAGCACTAGAACCCCTGACCCTGGGGCCATGAATTTCACAATTTTGGTAGAGGACTCAATGCTCATTACATTCATGCCAACAGTTTGCCTGCTTGATGTCCAGGAGTAAAGAAGAAGATTTTTAAAGATTTCATTAATTTTAGTGGTTTTGGCCCCACCCCTCAGGCCCCAGGGGGGCCGGGGACCATGAAATTCACAATTTTTGTTCCCCTTCACCCATAGATGCTGTATACCAAATTGGTTGAAATTGGTTCATTGGTTTTAGAGAAGAAGCTGAAAATGTTCAAATGTTAACACACGACACACGACGGACGACGACGGACGAAAACGGATAGCAATAGGTCACCTGAGTAACTCAGGTGACCTAAAAAACAAAAGTTACCTGAATTCTATAAACATGACCTGGAAAGGCAAAGCACATTAGTGCCATAAAAAAGGTCAAAATGGCATCAATCCTCAGGTGGACATCCAGTCTGGAGTGTGTTTCATTAGCTCCCCCCCAGTCTGGGCATCTCAGTGTGAAGTAGAGATTTCCAAGAAACCAGAGAACATCTCCATAAGTCCCAAAATACCAACTCTGTAATTAAATACCATTAAAATGTGGAATGAAATGATAATGTGGGTAAAACTCAGATCTATGTTTGATATTACTGTCATATCTTTTTTTCCTTTAAATAAAGCAAAGTCTCAGGTCAAAAGAATTGTTCTGTAATATTTTACTCTAATTAACATGAATTCCTAAACTTTGTTTCAACTAAAATTATGCAACCAACTCCTCCTTCAACTAATATAAAATACATATAAATCATATTTCAGTTTTCCCTTTCTTTTTTATTTTTTGTTTTTTCTTTTAGCTCATCTGAACCAAAATCATATTTTTTTTTAATCACCTGAGCTGAAAGCTCAAGTAAGCTTTTCTGATCACTGTAAACTTTTCACATTTTCTACTTCTTCTCCAGAACCACTCGGTCAATTCAATCTAATTAAAATTAGATCTTTGATCCACTCCAGTTTGATCGCTACACAAAGTGTAGCGATCAAACTGGAGCGGATCAAAGATCTAATTTTAATTAGATTGCTGTCAATTTCAACCAAACTTAATTGTCACAAAGAATTCTTTGTTAAAGATGATTTAAGTAAGTTCATATGAAAGGCCCCACCTCAGAAAGAACTACTTTAATTTGTCACACACTTTGTCTACCCAAGATATATCAGCTGAGAAAGTTTGAGAATTCTAGGTCTAATAGTCAGCGTTTTCCATTTAATTCAAAGTAAAGAGTTAAAGATCAATATGTTGCAGGCTAAGAGTTGATGTTTATGAACAGAATCTCTGTCAACCTTACAACAATTTTTATATATCTAAGCCACATTTTTACTGTCAATTGGGCCGTTAGCCAGTTCTTAAGGAAAACACTGAGTATTAAAATTATGAGCTGGACACAAAAAATCTAACAAACAGACAGACAGACATGAACCCTATTACAGAATACTTCCCGTCTTAGGACATGTAAGATGGGCACATAAAAACAGAAATACAGCAACATTTTATTTGGAAAAGCTCTAAGAGATAAAAGTGAAGGTCTGTATTGTGGTATTTTGTACACAACAATATTAAGTTTAAAAACAACTTACCCTGTCATTCCAAGAGACTCAGTCCCTGTAATTTTGAGCCACTTAGTTACATATACCCTGTCATCCCATGAGACTGAAATCTTCAAATTATAAGGCATTTTACCCGTCATCACAAGACTTTGCTTGCCCTGTTATAAAAAAAGACAACCCTTTTTTTTCATTCTGAGAAACTTACCCTGTCATTCCAATGAGGATCTTTTGTTACATTGTAAATGGAGTACACACGATTTAAAATGTACACACTTGTTGACTGAAAAAAAAAAATGAAATTACTATTTATGTGGAATAAAGGTAATTCAAAATTTTACATTAAAAAACAAAATTAAGCCATAGTTTGCTTGAAAATTAATATCCTAAATAGTAAAAATACATGTAGTTATAGATATAACTATTAACAGTACAACCTAAATAAATCGACTATTTTTAAACTACAAGCCTCACAAACAGATCAATTTCAGAACAGTCTACAATACGTCCACTACAGATAAATATCTTCAGATCAGGCAAATTTTACACCCTTTAATCAACTGAACACCTGATTTACATTTACTAAATTCTCTTCAGACTTGCTTTCTTCAACCTGACACTACCACAAGGACAATTGAGATTAACAATAATAATATTTTTTTATGTTTCCTTTTAATTTATGGAATATATATGGTGTATTACATCTATCACATCTATGGAGATTACCATTTGTTAATGAATGATTACACTTCAAAGTATAACTTTCTTATAACATGTGTATGATAATAAAATACAGATTTCTTATAAAATTCAAAGGTATGGACCCCCCTCCCCCCTTACAATTTTTTTTAAATCTGTAAATCTGGGGTTGAGTAACCTTTTTCCTATTTTTGTATTCTAGTATACAATTGGAACCTAGGAACATCAAGGAATTCAAATGTTTAGTCACTGTTGACTTTGTACATGTGCAGCAAATATACTGGTACTGAATACTTGTACATTGTACTGTCTCCATCAGTGGCACTAAAACATATTAAGTACATCAGAGAGAATTATCTTACTATTTTATTTTAACTATCCTTTTCACCTAAAAGGAAAATAAAGGGTTGCTTGACATTAGTGATGGAGATATAAATAAACTATGGGAGTTCAAGGACAAGCCCCTCTGGAAATTTCATATTAAAGGTGCAAAAATCTGCAACCTGTGAGTTCATTTGGGGGTTATTTCTAGAACCCATACATATAAATATATCAATTTTACATGTTCGTTTAATTGGGGAATTTTTGATAACTGAAAGGGAAACCTTTTTTCCAAAGGGGGAGTGGAAAGTCAAGAGTACCACTTGAAAAGACAGCATTGCAGTCTGATTAAAATCCAACCTACCACTATCTCGGATATCTCCTTTATTTTGTTGAGCGTGTGGTTGACCATCAAGATAAAGGAGCTAGAGGAAGGTTTGTTTTTAATCAGACTGAATAGCATTGATAAATCCCTGCATCACATTTTCTATCAGCATTAGTTGAGAAAAAACTTACAATAACTCGAGACCATAGAAATGTAATTTTGACTGTAGGGTCTGATGAGTGTTGTGTGAAAATTCCAAAGAGCGATGTGCTGAGGAGGATGAAGCCAAACTGTCTGTAAAAATATTCATGCTTTAAATCCAGTTCACCATCAATCTAGAAAAAAAAAATGTTAAAACTTTAGATTTAATGAAGGCTAGAATAAAAAAAAATGCACTAGCAAATAGGTACCAGTAAATGATACTCTTGATCTTATCTTACAGTTATTTATACTAGAATTCCCTTTACAGATCCAATCCAAAGACTACATATTTCTTCCAGGGTAGATATACTTATTTAAACCTACTCTAAGTAGCTTTTTTAATTTCTTAACTTACTTTTTCTTTACTTGCATCTCATGGTCAAATACAGGAATGGTGCAATAAGGTGAATACTTAACTTCTATATACAGTCACACACTGACAACAATTAGGACAAAAAATTTGTCAAAAAATTTAATTTTCTAACTTTAAATTTGCATGAAAATCTAAATCCATCATTTCATTTTCTAGTAGCTTTAAGGATCAAAACCAAGTCTAAAATGTCTATAAATTTGTATTAAAACAGAACTTATCTTCATGCGTTTTAAGATATTGTTTTTCCATTGATTTTTTTCAAGCATATACTCTCCATTTTCCCCTCATGTAAAGTTTCCAAATTTACATGCTGAATTTTGAAAGATTGTGCATTTTTGCAAATTAATGCACAACATAATGAACAAAGTTTCACATGTTTTAAAGATGTGCCTTAATTAAAATGTTGACAGTGCAGCTATTAAAGCGAGTGCAGATACCTATTCATGCAGTTTTATGTAGGATTCAGTTTGCCAAATGGTGTGTGACATTTGCTAAGTATGTACACTATTGGATCACACGAAGTCGTGTGTAAGCTGCATTTCTAAACCAAAGCCTGAACAGTGTTGAATCTAATGAAGTAACGTTTTTGTACTACATATTCATTAAATCAGAGCAATTTTATTCTTTGTTAACTTTTATTGTTAGGTCACCTGAGCCGAAGGCTCAAGTGAGCTTTTCTGATCAAAATTTGTCCGTTGTCTGTCGTTGTCGTTGTCGTAGTCGTTGTCGTCGTCATAAACTTTTTACATTTGCATCTTCTTCTCAAGAACCACTGTGCCAATTTCAACCAAACTTGCTACAAAGTATCCTTGGGTAAAGGGGATTCAAGTTTGTACAAATGAAGGGCCACACCCTTTTCCAAGGGGAGATAATTATAAATTAGAGAAAAATTAATGGCATTATTAAAAAATCTTCTTCTCAAGAACCACTGGGCCAGGAAAGATGAAACTCATGTGGAATCATCCTCAGATAGTGTAGATTCAAGTTGGTACAAATCATGACTCCCGGGGCTAGGATGGGGCCAAAATGGCCGACCCAAGTTTTACATAGGAATATATAGGAAAATCTTTAAAAATCTTCTTCTCAAGAACCACTGGACCAGGAAAGATGAAACTCATGTGGAATCATCCACAGGTAGTGTAGATTCAAGTTTGTTCAAATCATGACCCCTGGGGCTAGGGTGGGGCCAAAATGGCCGACCCAAGTTTTACATAGGGATATATAGGGATACCTTTTAAAATTTTCTTTTGAAGTACTTAAAATCCATGATTAGTGATATTTATATGGAATCATCCTCGGGTAGTGTAGATTCTCAAATCATGAACCCCTGGGGGGATAAAATTCAAGCCCCCCCCCCCCCCCCCACCTCAGTAAACTTTCAGTTCTGATCTGATATGTGCTTTTTCCTAGCCGATGTGCTCAGGTGAGCGCTGTGGCCCCTGGGCCTCTTGTTATTCTTGTGATTAAATTGCTTTAACAATTATGGGTCAAAAGTTACTGGGGAAAAAAATTCTATTGAATGAATGTGCAGTATTCTTTATTTTCTCTTTGTACAGGCATTAATTAATTGTCATTAGAGCTCGCAGTGACGCATCATATCACTGACTGCAGTGCACTCATTATAATTTCATTTTCAAGAGATAAGAGAAGGTAGAAGTACTACTTCAAGTATGTTTAAATACATGTACCTAATTGTATAGGTATCTATTAATAGCTACATGTACATGTTCTTAATAGCGAGCGCAGCGAGCGTCGCGAAGCGAGCACAATAGACTAACGTGTATGAACAGAGGAAATTCGGATTGAAATCTGTACATACGTCAGCCAAATTTCTCTGTGCAACATTCCCAGAATTCCTGCACTACCCAATGTCCTTTGCGCGAATAAATCAAAAATAGTAAAAAAATTAAAGGAACATTGTTTCTTACCGAAATCTTAACGAAATGATTTTGCTTTACCTTATTAAAAAAATACCCCCATGCCACAACACCGGCCTTCACCTTGCCCTTCGGAAATGATACAAATGACGTCACCGGAAACTTACGAATTTTGACGAAGTTATGTCGGTTGCTTCCGTGAGACTCGGAAAACATGTTGCGGTGCATAGCAACATGGTGGCTAAAACATAGCAACAACTTACTTGAAAAGAACGATTTAATGTAATCTCTTTTCCATAAAACTAGCGTTTGCGTCCTAAGTCAACAGAACTTTTTATCTGACGTCATACTTTCATCACTTCAACGGTTCGGGTATTTCCGATTTTGTCGGAAACTTCCGAGAAGTTTGGAATCTTGATCCCGATGCTTGGGAAATGATTTCTTTTTATAGTTTTATTCTTTTTGCTTTCTTTTTCTTGAATGATAGACAGTACATGTGTAGGTTTATGATAGTAAATAAACTGTGCTCGCCCCAACGGTCACACCGTAAAACATATTATTAAATAGAAATAGTCTTTGGACTGGATATGGATCTGAAACTGATAAATATTAGCGAGCACAGAGAGCGTCGCGAAGCGATGCTCACGAAGAGAGCTCAATAGACTAACATGTAAGAACAGAGGAAATTCGGAATGAAATCTGTACATACGTCAGGAAAACTTTTCTGTGAAACATTCCCAGAATTCCTTTACTACCCAATGTCCTTTGCTCAAATAAATAAATACTAACGTAAAGCATAAACGAATTTCAGTATGCAGAAATCTTTCAAAGAAACAAAAAATAACTCTGCAATTTTTTTCGACACAAATTGCACTAGTTCTATAGTTTCAAACAGATGCTCGGCTGTCTCCATAAGCTCCGACGAGCTCCGTGACGTCGTGTGACGTCACAGGTAGTCGAGATGTCTCGTGCGTCTTGATGTTTGAAGTGGCTAATCAATTTTTCAAGTGTTTATGATGGTACAACTGCGCTCGCCCCAACGGTCACACCGTAAAACATATTAGTAATTTAGAATAGAATTTTAAAAATACTTATTACATAAAAGTTGAACAGGTGTAAAATATATTTTTTTATTAAGGAAATATCTTTCTAAAACTCAATTATTCTTGAATTATTAATCAGACTTGGTATGATTTAGCTTTCCTTTCAAGTTCATTTTAGTCGAATTTCCTCACAATATGGACAATGGAAAATCACTGCAATAGACAAAATTCCTTTATTTTCAGTCAAATATCAGTTTTATTTTAGCAGCAGATGGGTAATGTCTTACTTGATATTGCATTATGTATTTAGGAAAAGCCACGCAAAGCAATCCCCATAAAGTTGTTATCGACAAGTCTGCGAAGATCCATGTCTTCTGTCCAAACGGTAAGATTCCAAGGAACAGCAAAGACATCAATATTGGGGGCAATAGTTCTTGAATGTCCATTGTTTAAAAAAAATACAGCTTGAGCTCCTGTTTTTGAATAGATTGTAAAGACCGAGGAAATTCTACCCAACTTCGTCCGAAAAAGCCGCGTCAAGCTAAAATTGACCAATCACATTTCAGTGAAGCCTTCATTAAACGTTTCAGAGACGCCGGTGTAAGAGTGCAAACAGGCCTAACTTAGTTTTATTCGTAGTACCCAATCTGTCTTCTCTAGTCTTCTTCAAGACGCCGCTTTTATTTTAACATTTTCTCATATTTTCCTGTGTAATATCACGAATTATGTATTGCTAAAGCATTTCACAATAAAATAAAATAATTAAAAATTTACTCTATTTTATCTGGAAATTACTGAAACTATTCGGGAGGTGTTTGATTAACACATTCTTGCACTTTCACAATATTTTAAACTTCTTCCTTATAATACTTAAGGTTTTTACATTCAAAAGATGTGACAAAGGTAAACAGCTCTTCAAATTTGTGACAGTCGGATAGACCTATAGATGAATGAGATGTGATGTCCCCTCGCTTTCGTGAAAGCACATGTACACTGTGCCTCTATGTTTATACTGATTATCAGTTAGCATATAATGTAAATGGATAATATTTGAAATAAATAATCTTACTTAGTTAGTCCTCTTTGTACTTTGAGTACATAAGGCCTGCACCGAGGACCTCTGTCTGCTGTGTACCACGCCCCAAGTTCATCCCTGTTCTTTCATTTCTTTTTCAACTGACCTTCGCCATGTCTCCTTTGGATCTCCCTCTGTTTCTCTTTCCTGGTGGACTCTATTTTAAGGCTACCCTTGGTATATCTGATGGTTTCATTCTCATGATATGGCCAATACAATTCCATCGTTTCTCTATAATCTGGTCAGACATAGCAACTATGTGCGTTTTTCATACAGCTCCTCATCGCTGATCTTGTTCGGCCATAATATTTCGAGTATTATTTAAGGAATGAAGCTTATTTCAACTTTTGTTATACGATATAACATAACTTGGGGCAGTTGAAGCTTTATAAGCCGCGAAGCGGTAACTGCCCCAAGTTATGTTTTATCGTATAAACATAAATTGAAATAAGATTCATTTTTTATAATTTAATTTCAATGTGAACAATGACACAATTTTTGCATTTTTTCCTTCGGAAAAGGGCTTCAAATATAGCATATTTCAAAAGTAACGTCAAGCGGAGTTAAATGTTTTTGACGTAACTCATTGTAACGTAGGCAAGTTATGTTATACAAAATGGATAAAACCGTTTAACCAATCAAATGACGTGTTAAACTGAAATTAAATTATAAGGAGACATCTTGTTTGGAAGGGTTCTAGTTTTTGAGTGATTTTTGTCACCTTTCATTATTCAGATCCATAAAGGAGAACTCCAATTGCACTTATTTTGAATATCCTTATTATACCCTACCCCCCCCCCCCCCCCGCTTGAAAAGTGGGAGGGTATACTGTAATCGGTATGGCCGTCCGTCTGTTACGCTTTAGGGTACCCATCTCTTATCTGCAACTCCTCTTATACCACTGAGTGAAATTTAATGAAACTTTCACAGAATCTTTGTTACATGATCCGACACATATTTTGGGTTTCTCGGCTACAGCAAATCATGGACTTTGTCATCTATCATTTGTAACTGTAAATCACATACTTTTAGAATGTTCCGATTTTACACCTATTCGAAGTAGACTTTTGGAAGTGTGAAAACGATGTTTGAACTTTTTACAAATGTTCATGTTTATAACATTTCAGAATATCTACAAGAAACGGATTAATATAGTAAAATTTAGAATAAAATTAATAAAACAATTTTAATGAGAAATATCTCAATTTAATTTTTCTTTAACAGTTTACGTACTTTTTAAAATTTTATGTCTGTCGGACGGGACCCATGGTGCCCCGTCAACTCCCTTGGCACGACGTAAAAGATCGTTTCTCTGGAGTTCGAAAAAGAGTAGGCTCACTGGGGGCCGCCAGAGAAATCAAAAACTTTCAAAGACCGAAAAGCGGGAGTGTATATAGTAATCGGGATGTCCGTCCGTCTGTTACGCTTTGGGGTACCCATCTCTCATCCGATCCGCAACTACTCTCATACCACTGAATGAAATTTGATGAGACTCTCACAGAATCTTTATTACATATTGCCATTGTGTTCCTTAAATATTTGTTTAATATCTCTTTCACATTGATTTAATTCAATATTTTAATTTACAATCATTAATAAATATTTTTCGAAATGCAAACTCATTTATGTCACATTTCCAATTAAATGCGCTTTGTCTGGAACTACGTAAGCGTATACTATACTTGGCCTTTGAATATCCTTATATCTCTGTGCTAGTTAAGCGATGTCATCTGCATATTTTCAAAGATATACAAGAAATTGATGATCACAATGGGTAGAAAAAACTTTTATATTACATTCATCAGACCAGTGTGCTTAAATATGCCTCAGTTGTTTGAGGTGGCTGGTATACAAGAGATTCTGAAAAGCATGAAAAAGTACACTTAACCGTTACTGGAAGGGGACTTCCTATATTTATGTCTAGAGAAGTACTTTAATCTGAAATTGGTTCGGAAACTTTAAAATCCAGACGATATATTGCTAAAACTAGAGGTATTGTGACCAATGACCTCACTACATGATACCCCCGCCTCTCAAATGAATAGAATGGCAGTGTCAATGTTTTGCCATTGGAAACCAAAAATATTTGTCGGATCAAAAAGTAAAATAGAAGGTGCACAATGACAATATGTAATAAAGATTCTGTGAAAGTCTAATCCAATTTCATTCAGTGGTAAGAGAGGAGTTGCGGATAAGGGATGGGTACCCCAAAGTGTAACAGACGGACGGACATCCCGATTACTATACACATGTACCCTCCCGTTTTCAAGCGGGGGGTATAATGACTACTATGTTCAAAATTCACACGGGAAGAGTACCTGAATATTTGCCTGAAATTGTCCCCAATAAGCATAACCGTCTAAATTATGTATCCACTTTACCGAGGTATAAGAAGGAACTCCAAATATGTAGCTATAACAGATTTGTTAACAAAATAGGACAGGCTCCGCCATATAGCGGACGAGAGCAATGTCCAGCTGTTTTGGCGAAAGCCTGAAAGTGGAGTACGAAAGTGGAGACCGGTGCTTCGGAAGAGACCGTATAAACGTAAGTCCCATGTCGCAGTAGGTGGTGGAAGGAAAAAGATCCGTCACTGCTCAATGGCCCTGAGTGCCGGATATACGACAAAATTTGCAGCTCTCCACCGGCAAGTGGTGGAGTCTCCATATGAGTGAAAAAAATTCTCGAGAGGGACAATAAACACCAATCAATTTTCTCTGCTCTTGGGTATGAAAACCAATGACCTATGTACATATTTATGATGAGGAAGGATGCCTCTTCCAAATTTGTGATTTTCATGGCTCCTGCGTCAGGGTTTCTGGTGTTAGTGCGGGGCTCCAATGATTATTGAATTCATTAAAAATGCATGAATTCTTTGAAAAGCTTTTCCTTTGCTCCTGGGTATTACGTCAATGATCTAAGTACATGTTTATGATGAGGAAGGTGCCCTTTCCAAAATGGTTAATTTCAGGGCCCCGGGTTAGGGGTACGGTTACATAGTCTAAAAAAATAAATTAATGCTTTGAAATCTGCTCTTTGGTATTAATCAACTATTTATAATATAATGAATTTATGATCAAATTTCCAAAATTCTGAAATATGTGACCCCACGGTCAGTGGTTTCTTGGGGTGCGGTGCAAAACTGGTAATACACTGGAAATGCATTTTCTCTTTGTTACTCTGAGCTACATCTGGGTATTAAGTAACCAGAGTAAGCATGCTAAGTGAATAGTAATGAAAGCATTGGTGCCTCTTTCAAAATTGTGAATTTCATGGCCTCTGTTTGAAAACTTGAACCAAATTCAATTGTTGGAAAGTTGTTAAATGATACTCAGGTGACCTGTAAGACCCCACTGCTCTTGTTTTGGTTGTAATAAAGGTCGCTGAAAAATCTCATCTACATGGTTGCGATCTCTTTTATTTTCCCTCCGAATTATTAGCTACAAGTGTCGATATCGTGTCCAGTATTCTGGGTGGATCTGGCCGTATCGAAATCTCCATGTCTACATCGGATCATAAAACATTGTCTTCATCACTAATTCGGATGCCAGGGTCTTGAAAATTTCTTAAATTTTATGTGTGTTTGCTCTCTTCCATAGGATTTTTTCTCTGATCCGGTTTTGCTATAGTACGTGTGACGAGTGTGTCCATTAAAACCACGTCATGGTCACTCTTACCTAATGCTGGAAGAGGTTCTGATATCTCTCAAATTGTTGGAAAATACGAAATCATATCCGAACCAAGGTTATCTCGCATGTTGCACAACTGTTTAATTACTCTTTTTAGGACAGATCTGCCAGTATATTGTCGAGATAGCCATGTTACGAGGAATGTTTAAAAAAAATAATGACACGTGGCTTTTTTCATCCACATCTTTCAATCTTTGATCCCATTCCTTCATCTCTGTCCTACAAAGTACTAACCCTTGGCCTGGATACACTTTTATAGACGATCAGTGCACTTCTGGAAACATTTCTTCATACTCCCCATCAGAGACAACCATCATATACTAATAACTTGAAGACCCAGGCATTCCGTGATTTGTATTTTTTTTTTTTAGGTTAATGGAATTTTAGTTTCGGGAACAGAAAACGGTAAGGGGGGGGGGGGATGGGGGTAGGACAATAACCTTTTCCTTCTCCAAATACTTGATAATAATGCGTGCTCTGTGTACAGGCGAATTGCCGTACAAAAGTTGGGAGTATTTCTTATCCGATTTGGGGCGACGGCCTTCGTTTGTGATCATCTTCCTTCTCGAGAATTTTTTCTCTATGGAGACAACACCACTTGCCGTAGGAGAGAGCGCATTTTTTACCTATAAGTATACTCAGCAATCAAGGTCATTGAGCAGTTAAAGATCTTTTTCGTGCCAGTATCAATTGCGACATGGGACCTTGGTTTATACGGTTCTCACGTCCCACAGTGGGATTCCAACCCGCGACGCAAGAACTAACTCCTTACTTGGCGAGTCTTAAGCAGA